ATAGACAAGATGATACAATGTGAGTGGTAGGTAATTTCACAAGGGTGCTGTGGGAATCCCAAGGGAGGACAGTGACCATGACCCACGTGACCGTGCGAGCCCCTTCCAAGTGTCCTTCCCACGCCCAACCCCTTCCCCCTCTTGGCCACACACACACACACACGCACACGCACTTAAGAGAGACAGAACCACAGAAAAAGACGACGAGCCGGACAGAGACAGGGACACAGGAGATACTAATCTGAAAGAGAGCGGAGAGAAAATGAGAAAAGAAGAAAAATAGGGCAAGAAAAACGAGTGAAAATGAAATAATTGCAGAGGATTTAGAAGAACGAGAGACAGAAGAGCGCCAAGCATAGCGAGAGCAGATTGATTAGGCCGGGGTAGTCCTGAGCTCCAGCAGGCTCCGGGAGCAGGGCGGGTGGGCGGGCGGGGGGCGGGGTGGGGCCTGGGAGGGGCCCGCCCATGGGCAGGCCAGCAGAATGCTGCAAACACAGATGAGCCGTAATTCCCCCGCTGGCCCCGCCCCGCTACTGCTACATATTCAATGAGGCAGCCAATGGAAGGCAAGGACGGTGGATAAGGGGCGGGGCCTCCGTGGACCCCGCCCCGGGAGCGGCTGCCGAAGGGGTCAGCACTGAGGCAGATAGCGGATCGCGGGGCGGGGCGGGGCGGGCGGCGCGGAGGGGGCGGGCCCAAAAGTTTCCTGCCCAACTTTCGCTGCCTCCTTCCTCCGCCCGCGCGCGCTGCGGCTGCAGTCGGGGGGAGGCGGCGGCGGCGGCGGCGGCGGCGGCGGCGGCGGCGGCGGCGGCGGCGGCGGCGGCGGCGGCTGCGGGCAGAGCGCAGGGCTCACGGCACTGGGCGATCGCCGTCGGGGCTCGGGCGGTGGGCAGCGGGCGCAGGCTCCCCGGTGCCCGCCCCTCCGCTGCGGGGGGGGGGCGCAAGCGGGCGGCCGGGGAGGGGCCGGCACCGCCGCCGCAAAATGAGCCTGCTGTCGGCCATCGACACGAGCGCCGCTTCGGTGTACCAGCCCGCCCAGCTGCTCAACTGGGTCTACCTGTCGCTTCAGGACACGCACCAGGCGAGCGCCTTTGATGCCTTTCGGCCCGAACCGCCCGCCGGCGCCGCGCCCCCAGAGCTGGCCTTCGGGAAGGGCCGCCCGGAGCAGCTGGGCTCGCCCCTGCACTCCAGCTATCTCAACAGCTTCTTCCAGCTGCAGCGCGGAGAGGTGGGTGCCCCCGCGCGCCCCCGCCCTCCGTCTACCGCGCCGGGCCTTTTCCAATCGGCCCCGCTCTTCCTGGCCTGGCCCGGCCCGGCTCCGTATTGCCTGGCCCTGCTTGGCTTGGCTTCGCTTTGCTCTGCCAAACTCGCCGCCCGATGTCCCCGGGGCGCCGGGAGCGCGTCACCTCCCGGCTGAGCCCGGCTCGCAGCAGCTCGGGCGCGGGCGGGGCACTCTTGCTCCCTCTCCCAGCCCGGGGCGCCCTGCTCTAAGGGGACTGGGGGAGCCCTGGCTGGGCGGGGGGCTCCGGATTCTCTCCAGACGGCCCGGGCGCGGCCAGGGCGGAGAGCCCCTTCCAAGTGTCCTTCCCACGCCCAACCCCTTCCCCCTCTTGGCCACCGCTCACTGGGACCGGGAGTGCAGATTCTGCTCAGAGCTCCTCCGCAGGGGCCTAAAATCTTTGCTCCTCCGACCTCGGTGGTGGCCGACCCGAAGGGCACCCTGGAGAGCAGGGTTTTTCCTGCTCTTCTTACACAGGGACCCCCAGATACATCCTCCAGCTGCTTGCCCTCCCCCAGCCACATAGGAAGTGGTTTGTGAGGGCTTGACCCCACAGACTGCGCTGTCCCCCGCCCTCCCAGCCTGGAAGGAAATGAAAGGGAAATCCTCTTGAGCTCTTGGGAGGGGGGCTAGCCAGGGGGAGAGGTTTCAGCTGCCCAGTGCCTTCTCCAGAAACCTGGGCTGGCTGCTTTGCAAAGTCCGCCTGTTGGGTGGATTCGGTTACAAAGTGGAAGGGGCAGCGCGTCTTCCCCAGCCAGATAAATACACAGATTGCCAGGACCTCCCAGCCCCTTTTCAGAGGTCTTCTCCAGAGCTTTCCTAGATACCACTCCTCTCTGCTTTGAGCTGGACTCCTCCTCTCCCTCCCTTCCCGTTTACTCCTGCCTCTTTTGGGAATGGCAGATACCCTTCTGTGGCCTTCACTCATCCATCTTCTGGCAGCTCTCCCTGCAAAAGTGCAGGGGGAAGGAGTGGAGGAGAGGACACACTTGAGGGTTCCTTTTCCTTCTGGACCTGAGCACAGCATTTAGTTTTAGGAGAGTCAGAGTCCTGAATGGGTCAGGGGGAAGGGCCTGTGAATGTGTGAGTGTGCTAGGGACGAGAGGGGGAAGGCAGAGGGTCTTCCTTTCTGGTCCCATAATGTGTTCAACTCTGCCAGTACTGATGAGGAGGGGGCATGGACATATAAAACACTGGCCTGAGGCCAGTACCGGGCGAGCTGAGGGAAGGATTGGTTGACCTTTGTTGGGCTGGTTGGGCATAGTGCAGGGAGATGGGTCTGGAGAGCCACCCCTTGGTGCCAGGCGAAAGCATTTGTCTACCAAAGCTCTTTGTAAACTGTAAAGCACTCTCTCCACGGGAGGAATTATTCTTGGCTGGGAATCCTTCTCTCTTATAAGAGAACTTGCCACCTCTTCAGGGAATTGATTGCAGGACCAGTGACTTTGGAGTACAGGTTCTGGGTGTTTCCTCCCTGCCGGGGTCTTTTTAGTTGTTATCTTACCAAACATTTGTTGAGTTCCGTGTGGACCCTTGGGGAAGCAGGGACAGGCCAATGGGGGCCCCGGATGAGAAGATAGACAAGATGATACAATGTGAGTGGTAGGTAATTTCACAAGGGTGCTGTGGGAATCCCAAGGGAGGACAGTGACCATGACCCATGTGACCGTGAACTCTCATCCCTCACAGGTCAAGTGGGGGGTCCATAATCATCAGCCTCTACTAGCCTTTCCCAGCTCCTACCTGATGGTGGTCTTCTTCCCCAAATATGGGTCCCTGCTGAGAGGCCTGGGAGTTTGGGGCCACCCGGGGTCTTCTGTAGGAGTAGGATGTGGTGCCTTCTCTTGGAAATGTCTAACATCCAGGATCCCAGCTGGACCTCAGTGAAACTTGTCTCTGGTCGCTTCACTGCTGCTCACCCCAGTTTCCCTGTGAAGAGGTACATTCCTTCTCTGGGGCCAGTGTAAAAGGAGATGGTAAAAGTTATGCAGAGCAATAGTAGAAAAAAGTCTTTTATGACCTGACTTTGGGGGAATACCCTGTCTCTGTCTGGACCTCAGTTTACGCATCTGTTGAATTTAGTCTCTGCTGCCCCTTAGGGTGGTATGTATGGGATTTAAGAGATACGTACGCAAGCAGACAGGCTGAGTTGGGGGAGGTAAGAGGGGCTTCTCCTATGCTTGCAGGCCAGTGGCTTCCTTGGGGGGCTGGAGGGCTGTGCCGGCTAACTTCCGGAAGGCTTTCTTGGCTTTAGACTCACTTGCTCTCACCCCTCACCCGCTTCGTCTCCTAAACCCTCTTGGAGCCCCAGCTGTGCTCCTGGGCTTTCCTGCGTCCAGGGCTTAGCCAGTGACCTAATATGGCTCCAAAATAGCAACTGGCTGAGAAGGCATGAAAAAATACCCCCCACCTGAATGCCACCAAGGGGCTGGTTGGAGAAGAAGCAAATCATGTGTGGGCCAGAGGGGACTCTGCGAAGGGACCCAGGGACTCAGGAGCATCGCCATTCTGTGCAAGGCCTGGCAGGCCTGGTGGCAGTGCCTGCGGATGTGACTTGCATGCTGACCACTGACCATGGCCTGTCTGCACCGGTCCCTGTGCCAAGAGCCCACCCCCTCCTGCACCACCCCCAGGCTGCTCCCACCACAATAGCAAAACACCATGAATGCAGCTGGGATTTGGGCGGGGGGGTTGAGGACATGGGGGCACAGAAGCCCATTGTGCCCCTGGAACCTCAGCTCTGGAAGCTGAAGATAAGCCAAGGGTTCTGAGTGGAACACTGGCCCCGGGAGCTGAGAGAGATGGCAGAGTCCGTGTACGAGGGCAGGAGCGAGCACCAGGAGGTGTCTTGGATGCTGGTGGGGGCTCTTCAGCATCTCAGCTTGTGGTAAGGGTGCCAGGCCAAAGCAGGCACAGACAGTGTGCAGTTTTTTAAAAAGGCCTCGGTCTAGAATATGGGCCCTGTGAGCTTCAGTTTCAACCCCTGGTCTGTGGCAACAACTATATGTCTTTGTAGAGAGACTCCTGGGGCTCTTGGCTGAGCCCCTCCTCTCTCCCCTTAGGTACCCAAGGAAGGCCGTTCTTAGAGGGAGTGGGGGTTGGGTGGCTTGGGGGGGAGGTCTTCCCTGCCAAGTTTAGCTTGGAATTTAAATTCGCAGCGGCGTGGGGGCTGTGGGACTCTACTTCCAGAAAAGGAGAGGTACCCCTCATTGTTGAGCATTAGCTCTCGGGCCCCTCAGAGGGACGCCTGCGCCCATACTCCCTCAAGGGGAGCTATGGCTGTCCCGTTCCAGGTCAGAGTCTGAGGGGGGCTGTTATCTTTCCCTCTTCCTCCACGGATAGACAGACATGGCCCTAGAGTCAAATGATGGTTTGTGGAGGCTGGGGGATGGGCTTTGGGGTCAAATATGTCTGGAAAGCCGAAGACTGTCCTCCCCTTGGAGACACACAATGCTCCCCCCCACCCCCCTGCCCAGCACTGTGAAGGCTCTGAGAAGCCCTGCAGCATGGAAACTTATTTACCTTTCTTCAGCCCTGCACTTCCATCCGTATTTGACCAGAGAATGTTTTTGGCATAGAACATTTGACACTGTTCTTCTGAACATCACTAGGCCCAGGGACAGCTCTGTTGAGGCACATCTCTTCCAACCCTTAGGACGTTCTTCCAGGAGCTGTTGACCCAAGCCCTCTCCCCAGCGCAATCAGCTGCAGCACTGAAGACCCCCTCTTCGCAGCCCTGGTCTGTCCACGGGAGGCTTGAGAACAGCAGGAGGGGTGTCACAAGGCTTTCTGCAGACAGGGCTGTTAGACACTCAAGGAGCCACCAAGGTGTCCTGTTTAAAAGGCCCCCAGGTCTCGACAGTCTTGTGAAAGTTTCGTGTGTCGCCTGTGCTGTCAACAGGTGTGGGTGAGCCCAGGCTGCCTGACCAGTGTGGATGTGTGAACAGAGCCACATGTCTGTGTGAGAATGGAGGTTTGCCTCAGTGGGGCTGAGAGTGGGCTTCTGGGGCTGGAGTTCGTTCCTAGCAACTTTTGTGGTCTGTGTGGTTGGCGGGGAGGGAGCAGCGCCTGGTCCTAGGAGGAATGGGCCTTCCGGCCCAGCAGAGCTTGGGAGGCTGCCTGGCTCCCTTGGCCAACCCTGGGAAGCTGAGCTCTGACTCAGGCAAGGAGGACCGTCATTTGAGGGCCTGCAGGCTGAGGTGGCCTAATCCTCCCTCCATCAAATTGAGTTGACTGGGCAGGCCTGGACTCAGAGGGGAGACCACACCTTATGGACCTTCTGAGTCAGGTGGGAGGGGGGGAAAGCAGGCAGGATTAGTGATTTGTAATTAGCCAGGCTCTGTCAGCACGCAAGGGGGCTCCTCGCAGAGAAGATGGCCCCGAGTCACAGTCCCCTACTCTTGGGTGGTGCTTTCTTCTTGCCATCTCTTTCTTCAGAGCCCCCATTTTCCAGAAGAGAGAACAGGCCTGGCAAGTCACCCTCAGAGAGTCAGTGGCAGAGCCACATCTGGAACTCTTCCAGATTCCAGCTACAGTTGGCTCTGTGGTTCATGGTGCTGGCTATCCCTGGGTCGTTCTCGGGGCCCCAGTGCAGGGCAGGCCGTCACCAGGGACTGCAGTCCTCTGCTGTGTTGTCTCTGGCCTCAGACCTTTTGAGGAGTGGTAGGCATTGGTGCATTGGTCACAGGTCCCAGCTCTCCTGCTGTGTCCGTACCTCAGTGGTACCCACGGCTCCAGCCCCTCCCCAGGAACCTGGCGTGGGGCTCCAGGGGATGGATGTCCAAGGATGGCCTGGCTTGAGAGTCAGAGGATGGCCGTGAGCATTTACTAGATTTTTATCTCATGTCATAGTCTGTGTGCAGCGTCCCCATTGTCCAGGTGGGGAAACTAAGGCTCTTCAAGAGGAGGATGACATAGTCAGGGCATCAGTGGTAGGACCTTGGTCTGTG